ACAAGTCGATCCGATCAATCAAAAATTAGAAAATTTGTGCTCAATTGTAACTTCGATATGATTGGTTACATTTTTTTCGGTCGATCCAGTCCGATCTAGAAATGAACAGGGCTAGTGTTTCACACGGATCAGATTGAATCAGATTTGGGCAAAATCTGATTTGATTTGAATCTGAAAAATCCAAATCCAATTCGATCTGAATCTGAAAAATCTGAATCCAATTTGATATGAATCTGACAAATCTGAATCCATATCTGTATCTGACAGATCAAAAAATTTTTTAACAAAAATTTACCTTTAATGTTTGGAACGGCATTTTAGTGTTAAAAAAAACAACAATTTTGTTTTTTTTTAACAAAAATCTGCCTCCGACGTTCAAATCGGCATTTTATTATTAAAAATTAATTTTTTTTAATAATAAATGTTACGTCTGACTTTCAGTGTAGTATTTTATTATTAAAATTAATTTTTTTAATAATAAATACTGCGTCTGACTTTTGGGGTGGAATTTTATTATAAAGCATTAATTTATTTAATAATAAATACCATGTCTGATTTTTAGGATGGCATTGTTATATAAAAAATTAATTTTTATTAATTTTTTTATTAATAAATGCCGTGTCTGACTTTTGGGGCAGTATTTTATTATTAAAATTTAATTTTTTTAATAATAAATGCCACGTCTGACTTTAGGATGGCATTTTTTATTTCAAATCTAACAAATTGGATCTGAATCCAAATCTGAATCTGACAGATCGAATCTGAATCCAAATCCAAATCCATCAGATTGAATCAAATCCAAATCCAAATATGATCCAGATCTGATAGATCAAATCAAATCAAAATTCAGATCTGAATCTGATTCGAATCTGATAAATCTGATTCGATCTGATCTGTCAGAACTGGATCAGATTCGGATTGAATCAGATTTTTTGCGAAATGCTAGTAATGAAAGTTCATCAAAAATACAGAAGGTAATAATCACTATTACATTATTATATTAATAAACATTAATACATATCGAATGTTTTATTTTAGTTACAAGAGGCATAAGAGAAGCAAGAGGGGAAAGAGACACATACATACAAGAGGCTTAAGAAGAAGTAAATGTGTTGAAGACATTCTCATAAAATATATGCTAGAGAAGAAGAAGAAAGAGAAGATGATAATGATGATGAAGAAGATGAAGTTTTGAATTCTTCTTATCAATTTACCTCTATTACTTTACAACCGTCTTTAACTCAACAATTTACCACTCAACAATCATCATTATCTTAACAATTGGCTATATTACTGATAATTATCAATCCAGTTGATTGTAGAGAAATTATCATGTGGTGAAGTATGTGGAGTCAATCTTACACGCCAATAATAACTTCAGATATCATGTCACCTACCCTTACTGAGAGACAACAAAGTCAACGCTTAATACCTATAGTTGAACTGCCTATAGTTGAATCCACCCAAAGTCGACATTCAACCTCATCTATAGTTGAACTCACCTGAAGTCAACATTCAATTCCAATATTCAGATGAGTTTCATCTGATGATTGTGATCCTCTTAATAATATTAAGGCAATGTTGATAAAATAAGGCAAACAAATTCGTATTTTATATGAATTGCAGTTTGTATTATATTACCACATTTAAATATCTAACATCATAAGTTATTTATCGCTATATTATATAGGATGGATATAGCAAAGTATGCGCTGAATTTTTCCAAATAACATATGGTCGAAGTTTGAAGAATATAAACAATTATTGAAAAAATGGCTAAATTCGAGTTATATGAATTATATTCACGAATTAGGTGAATGAGAATGGATCAACATCTTTAGCGGAAAACATCATTCTCTAGTAATTATTATTAATTAATTGTTAATTTTTAAATATTTGGTTTAATTTTATTTTATGATAGCTCATAAAAAAAATGAAAGACATGAGAGAAAGTCATGTTTCAGCAATTTAACTGCTATTTTCAGAATGTTTGGACTGCAATTGACGAATAATAGATGTAAAAACTCAAGAGATATCCTAGAATAGAAGCAATCCAGGAAAGTAAAAGAAAGTTATAATAAATTGTTCACTGAAAGTACCATGATAAAGAATATCACTAGTTCTGCATTTCTATCGCTAGATTATGCTAGTGATAAAAGATTTAATGATATGTATATTTATATCGCATTTGTATGTGATATATTATTAAACCTGAGTTATCCCACTCTCAAAGTTTTTAAGAAATTGCTGGAATTGCATTTAAAAAGATTTAGGGTATTTATCAAATTTATATTGTTATTTAAAAATTAATTTTATTAATCAAAATCAAAATTAGAAAGCGATCGATAAAAATGGTTAAATTAAGCTTAGCGATTCAACATCGATCTTACGTGAAGAAGTGCCTGATATTTCTAGCAGAAATAAATTTACTGATAATAATAAAGATAAAGAAGATCTACCTGAAAATGAAACAATGTTTAATGATACAAATTTTAAAATATACGATAAATTATTTGATTAATAACATAACGGTAATTATTTTAATTTGTTCTGTTTCTTTTATTTCTGAATTAAGATTTAAGTTTAATATCATTCATTTTAATTTTTCAATTTCGTTACTTTTTGATTTATGCTTCCATTTACAATCTTCGTGGAAAAACAATTATGTTTATTATTTTTTTTATTTTATCAATAGCTTATTTTTTCGCTTATTTTTACTGCTTATTTTTTTTCTTATTTTTATCACTTAACTTTTTCTTTACATTATTTTATATAATATTTTATATAATAAAATAAATACAAAGAATATTTATCCTTTATAAAACAATATATTTATCATTCGGGTTATTTATTATTAGTATATTTATCAGTATTTATTGAATTCGATATTTATTGTTTAAATATTTATTGATATTTATCAAACAGGTTAAAATCTGATGTTTTATTACTATTTATTCACATCGATATTGCTCGACAAATACGATTATTATCTATATATATCACATATTATAATTAATGTGATAAACAACGATAAAGAGATATATATCATTATATATCACCTGAAAAAATTTCCTGTTTAATATAACTAAATATAATCGAATTTTCAGGACTGTTGTCAAATGATGCTTTGAAATTGTATGTTTCATATGTTGCTATATAGTATTTGACCATTAAATCAAGCATTGACTTAGATAATATCACATCAAATTTAGGACTTAATATTACTCCAAAAAATGGTTTGCATCTAGTAATAATTGATTTTTGTATGTTTTTCAAATTAGACCAAAATCGCTCTATTTTATCAGATGAATATTCATCATCTTCTAATAACAAACTAACATCAGTTTGATTATCAAACAAATCTAAACCTTTTGTTCAAATATTTACCGAACTACTGATTTCTCTAATATAATTATCATTCATTAATCTGCGTATTATTTCTGGCTCAATTTGTCTATGACTACTCAGTAACAAACCTAAATAATATTAACATATTTTATAATTTATTAGCACATTTCATTATATAAATTGGTAAAAAAGAAAACAAAGCTACAATTACCAAGTATCCCATTCATATGTTCAAATGAAAAGCATCAGAAATGTATAAAGTGCCGAAATTATATAAACATTCTCGTAAATGAAGCAAAAGGTAGAAATTTGGCATTATTTTATCACGTTCGTAATACTTCTCAATAAGATTTACTATTTTAATCAACCTTTTATAAGCTTCTTATACTAAATCGAGTATTAGAATTTGACCTACTAGAATTGAACAAACTCTAATAAAATGTGTTAGAATCATTTGGTCGATTACTGATAAATGTTTCTAAAGTGATGTAGCTGCATAAATTGTATAAAATATTTATTATTGGTCTGCTATAAAGTTAGAAAAACCTTCTTTACAGTCGATTTTTCAAAGGATTCTACCCAAATCTGCTAGAAATTGAATTTGATTCATATTCCTTTGGATATTTTTAAAAGCATCTGAAGTTAAAACCTTCTTATTGACCCAAATTCATTTAACTATTCATTTCATTATGCCTAAAAATAAATAATGCATTAGGTTGACCATTAAAAATTGAATTGGATCAAAGTATGGTAACCAGAGTAACTCAGACTATCTAATGCCAGTATTCTTTACAAATAACTTTCTATCAACATCTGAATTGCACTTTTGCTAGTCAAGTGCATCCTTTTGATATTATGACAAATTGCAAGGAGTAAACCATTCATTTATGTTACTTATTCCAGCAAAATTATGTTGCCAATTTTCATAATTTGTCTTCTTTTTGCACATATGATATGGATATGATACCAATACTAAAATATAACTGCAAATTTTTCTTGCTGCAGGAATATCACATAAAATAAGGATTAATACTGCACAAATTCTTCTTTCTTCTTGATATCTGTTTGTTTTTAGAGTCAAACCATTCCAAAAAGACTCCAATTCATCAACAATTATTATTAAATAGTGATTTATTTTGTATAAACTCACTTTATTTCAGGGTTGGCCTAATGGCCAATGGATCTAATAGACCAATAGCCAATAGATCCAATGGATGTTGGTTTATTGAAAAAGTCCAATAGATCTATGGGAGACATTGGATCTATTGAGATCATTAATTTAATTGGTTAATTT